TTTTAATTTCTAAAATTTCTCCTTATAGTCCATTCGCTGAAGAAGATTTGTATTATTTTAAAAAATGCAGGAAATAATGTACCAAATAGAAAAAGATTTTTGCCATCATTTCTTATCAGTTGATGCGCGTACTACTGTAAATGTTTTAACTTTAATATTGTTTATATGTTTATTATTGGATCCACGCCTCAGCTGTTTAGCGAGTTTTGATACACACGCTCAGACCTATTTAGAACTTTCTATCTAGCGCTGTCCATCATTTACGCAATAGCTTAGATGACTTCATGATTAAGAACATATATTTTGAAGACCCACCACCACCCAGGAGATAATGTGTGTCTGACTCTCTAATATATATGTGCAGCTTGTTCTCTTTATCTATCGCTCATCGTTTAAATCTCTAGTCTAAATTTAGAAAATCATATCATCGTCAAGTAATGACCACTCTGTGCTCCTCGGGTGTATGGAGGGTAATCGTGTTCAAAAATCCAGACTTGTAAGTTTGTAAATGCAATCTTGTAAGTTTGTAAATCCAAACTTGTAATCGTATCAGTTTTATAGTATACATATGTAAGTAGGTAATTCAGACATCCAAGCATGTAGTTCTGAAATTACAACTGTGTTGACTTTAAGTTCAAATTATGAATGTGTGTATCTTTGATGTTGTAAACTTTGTTTTCCGGAATTTATATTTCTGCGCTCTGAATAAAACACAAAGACAATTCACAACTCTTCAAATGTAAAGTCTACATGTTTGTCGAATTTTGATTGCAAGAAAGTATGGAGGGGTGTCGGTGCCATAATTTCTTTTTAATATACTTGTTTCATTTTTAGCTCTTCTGAGCCAAAGGCTCAAAGAGCTAATGCTATGGCCATTTGTGCGGTGTGCGTCGTGCGGTGTGCGTTAACTTTTTAGAATATGGGCCATAACTCAAGAACCCCTTGGCCAATCATTTTCAAATTTGTCACAGGGTATCCTTGGCCCAAGGTCTACCATTTATTCTAAAACTAAGGGTAGGACCCCAAAACAAGGGGAGATAATCAGGAAAATAAAACCAAAAGTACTGGTTGCTAAAAAATCTTCTTCTCCAGAACCACCAGGCAGATTTTCACCAAACTTACATACAAGGGTCAGGATATGTTGAAGATTAAAAATTGTTCAAGGCATGACCCTTGGGCAAAGGGCTTGGTCTCAAGGTCACTTCAAAGTTAACCAAAATTTACACTTAATAAAAAACAGTGATATTTTGCTTACTATAAAGACTAGGATCATCAAATCTTGTAAGTTGATGCATCTTAGGACTTCACATCATGTTAACAAAAAAGTAGGTCACGGTGACCTACTTTTTAAATTTTACGGGCTTTTGTTTTCAAATTGATTTGGAGGCATATTTTGGACACTTTAAGGCCTATGATCATCAAACTTTGTCAGTTGATGCATCTTGGGACCTTGAACAAGGTCAACTTAAAAGTAGGTCACCGTGACCTACTTTTGAATTTTATGGCTCATCTTTTGTAAAACTTTTAATCCCATTATTTCAGATACTGAGAGGTTTAGAATCTCCAAATCTTGTAAGTTGATGCATCTTGGGGCCTTAAAACATATTTATGAAAAAGTAGGTCACTGTGACCTACTTTTTGTATTTTGCAGGCATTTGTTTTCAAATTGTTTAAAAGGCATATTTTGAATACTTTCAGACCTATGATCATCAAACTTTGTCAGTTGATGCATCTTGGGTCTTCAGAAAATATCAACCAAAAAGTAGGTCACGATGACCTAATTTTGAGATTTTATGGCTTTATTTCAGTATCTTAAGTACTTTTTGGCTTAGAATCATCAAACTTTGTCAGTTGATACAACTTGGGTTTTCGGAGAATGTCGACCAAAAAGTAGGTCACTATGACCTAGTTTTTACATTTTATGGCAATATTTCAGTATCTTAAGTACTTTTTGGCTTAGAATCATCAAACTTTGTCAGTTGATGAAACTTGGGTTTTCGGAACATGTCTACCAAAAAGTAGGTCACTGCGACCTAGTTTTGACATTTTATGGCTATATTTAAGTATCTAAGATACTTTTTGGCTTAGAATCATCAAACTCTGATAGTTGATGAAACTTGGCTTTTCGGAGAATGTCAACCATAAAAAGGTCACAGTGACCTACTTTTGAATATATGAGGTACTTATTGGCTTAGAACCATCAGCCAATTAATGCACCTTGAGTCCTCAGAAAGTTTCAATTCAAAAAGGAGGTCACCGTGACCTACTTATGGTATTTTATAGCTATACTGATTTCAGAAATATCTTCAGTCCTAACTGGATAAGAATCATCAAACTTTGTCAGTTCATGCATCATAGGATACTTAGAGTTAGAGGCTTCAAATAGAAGTGATAGACTGTACAGTTTATCAGAAGAGCGATTCAAGGCCCTTGGGCCTCTTGTTTAAATATTATTACAACTTTTTTTCCAACTTAAATTAATTCCACCGCCTTCATTTTTTATTTCTTACATTAGTTCTAACTTCTTGTTTATATTTTCCAGGATCCGGGGAGGGGCGATGTGCGGTGCCCCAATAATTTTGCCGATATAAAGAATACTTTAGAAAACATAGCTAATATATGCTTGTGCCCCCTCAATTAAAAAGTCTGATGACTTCTTTTGAATGGGAGGGGGCGTAGTTGATATATAGTGTCCCCCAACATAAAAAGTGAGGCTTTGCCCCCCCCCCCCCCAACTGAAGTTGTTCTCTACGAACATATTCTTTATTATTATTATTTTCTTGCTTCCTTTCGTATATTCATTTTATCTGATATTTTAAATTATGTTTCACTATTCCTAACTTATTACTTTTTAGGGGTAAAACTATAATAAGAATCAAAAGATTTAATAAGAGAGTAGAACTACAGTGCGCAACAGAATTAAACTAAGGAATCCGAATGAAATTTAAACAAAAAGGAGCGCGTCGTTCTTTTTTAACACGTTCACAGAGATCTTGCGCGAACAGTCTACAACACATACTATGTAGATGTATTTCCCTGGAACGTGCATTTTGTTTTATTATTTTAAAAAACATATGATTTCATTCTTGTGTGTTTTCTCTCCTTTTCAGACCCGTTGGAGGCAATTTCATGGGGGTTGGGGGTGGCCACAAAACAAAAATTTCTTGACCCCCAAAGGCATTACTGTTCAGGGGATATAACAATGAATTAGCCTTGATTTCTTTTCTTATGAATATACCGACAATTGGGACAATTGGAAATTACTTTCATTTACATGTAATTGGAATAGAATACACTGGCTCCCCACCCCCTGTCCGGCCCGGGACCATGAAACTTAGATAAGCTCACTTTTGATTCGGTCTCTCTTTTACTAATTCCTGTAGTAAACCAAGTTAGAGACGTGGCACGAAAAAGATCCCTCGCTGCTGTATTGCCTTAAGTGCCGAGTATAGGACAAAATTTGCAGCTCTCCACCGTCAAATGGTGGCGTCTCTATACGAGTAAAAATTCTCGTGAGGGACGTTAAACAACAATCAATCCTTTGGTGAAAGCGAGACTGTGAACAGCAGTGAGCTCGTCTAAGTTTAATTAATGGCCCTGGTGCATGATGTTTCAAATATGATAAATATGGCCCCCATTCCTGATTGCATGCTTATATTGTACTAGTATATAAATATCACGTATATTTCAGTTTATTTTGATATAACATGATTTTAAATTAGGACTGGGAAATTTTTTTCACTTCAACAAGTCTAAGGACCGAGGTAGAAAAGGGGGCAAAATGTTGGGTTCTCCATTTTTTGTGTGGAAAATAATCATGAGCAGATATTTTGATATGAAAATGCATCTACTGCAGCATTGGCTGCATTCCCCCTCCCAAACACACTTTTTCTTGAGAAAGTTTTACATGTACCAGTTTATGTAATCAATATTTGTTTGTAATTTCTTTTTTGGGGGACCCCCCCATTCCCCCGAGGAATATTTACACGTAACTGCATTACTGAATGATTTTTTTAAATTTGATATTATTGCAATTATAATTAAGATCTAAACTGAGGCACTGATCATATTTACCTAGTGATTGGGCGTTAGCCTCGCAAGTCATGGCCGGAAAGTTATTTAAGTATCAACTAAACCCTCTCCCCCACATCTCCCCAATAAAAAAAAAGTCATCAAACTTTTTAAATTGAGGGGGCACAAGCATATAATTTCAGTATTTTCTATAGTATCTTATATATATGTATATCGGCAAAAATTAAAAAAAAATATCAAAAAAGGAATTGTGGCACTGATGGCCCTCCATAGTTTCTCGTAATCAAAATTCGACAAACATGTAGACTTTACATTTGTAGAGTTGTGAATTGTCTTTGTGTTTTATTCAGAGCGCGGAAATATAAATTCTGGAAAACAAAGTTTACAACATCAAAGATACACACATTCATAATTTGAACTTAAAGTCAACACAGTTATAATTTCGGAACTACATGCTTGGAAGTCTGAATTACCTACTTACAGATGTATACTATGAAACTGATACGATTACAAGTTTGGATTTACAAACTTACGAGATTGCATTTACAAATTTACAAACTTACAAGATTGCATTTACAAATTTACAAGTCTGGATTTTTGAACACGATTACCCTCCATACGGGTGACTCCTGCCTGAGCGTAGCGGTGTCAGTCGAGGATATTTGGTTGATTAATGGCAGCTTACATTGGGACTTCATATCCGGAAATCAAACATAATGTGTCATCTCTCGTGAGAGATGACAAATACTTTATATACATGTAGTCGTTTTCCTTTTGAAAAAAAAAATCCAACTTATGTGTAAGTTAATGGTTGAACATTCTTGTAGCGGAACAACTTATTTGTACTAAATATTCATACAGCAAAATATTTAGAAATAAAAATAAATGAATAAATGTCTGACGAAAACAATTTATACAGATGATTGAAAAAAAAAAGATGTAAGTGAAGCACTCTTTGTATTTATTTTTTATTTTTTGGAACAAACAACGCACATTAGTTCTCTTCCCTCAACATAAGGTGGACATTTCAACGAGCCACAGCGACCTTCTACAAAGTAAAATAGGTTGCCATATCTTTTAGCATGACCGCCATGCAAAGTGTCTGGATCCTTGTCTACACACTTGTAACTTGTAGCACCCTTATGATTCCAATACCCAGCCATGAGGTAGCCGTAGTATTCCAGGTTCCAGCCTTTGTAGCATGTTTTTCGTGCTATAACAAAATAAAACATGTTACTTAGGCATTTTTGTAAATTTTGCACTATTTTTATTTTTGCACTGTTTTCGGATTTTTTTTCTCAAACAGCCATTTGATAATTTTTGTTTAGATTTAATATTGATCCAAGCTCAGCTAAAGGTATTTCAGCTATATAATATTGAATACTAAGATTAAATTAATGTATCTATTATAAAAAGAAGAGGTTATAGTTATTGTTTATTTTGTGGCTATATAAACGGTTTCTTGTTCTTAAAATATCATTTCATTTTTTCCCTTGAACTCAAACTTGTTTTAATCACTTATGGCTGCACTGTTATGATTAGAGATATATACTTAACTAAAAAAAAAGAAACGCATATTTAGATTAAACATGATAATCTAAGTTTTCACTTTAAGCCTTATATTTTAAAAGTGATTTTAGAGTGTGTCTCGATAAAAATCAAACATGCCCTTGGTTGTAGATTGAAAAGTTAAGTTGATGTCATTGTCGTCGCCTCTAAATTCTAGGGGCATACCGTCTTAACCAATCCATCTGTCCTTTGCAACGTCTCAGCGCAAGTGGATTTCAAATGTACGAAAATCGTGCACGAATACCAGCTCCTCTCAGATTCTTGCGAACAATGTGTGCACCTTTATGCTGGTTTCTTAACCAGCAATTGTAGCATGCGCAGCAGTTTGTACAGCAGTTCTGAATCGATTGCGCAGGTGCTGAAAGGGGGTCAAACGGTCCTGTCTGGGTGTGGTAAAGAGCGGACGGCCAGTTTTTGGTCTATCAAATGTGTTCCTAATTTGTTGCAATTGGGGACGGACGTTTAACCGCTGCAAAGGCGATTGATGTTCATGAAATGCAGTGGCAAAGTCCTGTTGCGTAGCTCCAGATATCATCATCGTTAGCCAGGTTGTGTTCACCTTTTTTAAAGAGTGGCATTGCAGCATGCAATCGAATCTTAAATATGGGTTTTATAGGCGTGTTTATTGTTTCTCTAAATCCAAAATATCGATGAAAATAGACCCCCGATTTACAAGAAATCATGTACAACACTATTTCATAAACATGATTAATCCAGAGAAATAATTCAAAACTTCGGGTTCAAAAGCCCATGTTGTCCTTTAAATAGGTCACAGGTATCCAATGATAAGAAAAGATAGGTGTTCCATATACTTTTTTCAAAATTTCTTTGATGAGTAAAACAATATGCGTTTCTTTTATTTTTGAGTATATAAGGACTCATTTAAAAGTCCTACTTAAGATGCATGCATGTCAATGTCGTTATTTATGGCTCTGATGCTTTTTACCAGAAAGTATTATGGGAAATGTCTCTATACTTTTTCACAATATAAATTTTCTTTTCTGACATCACTGATGATTTGAAAAATCTTGCCTATTTGACTACAAAATGACAATCAGAAAATACAACAAACAAAGTTTAAGGTAAATGATTTTTAGTCTCTCACCTGGAAAAATTTTTACAACAGACCTATTTTGAACAAGGCAGACAGCACATGGTACGTCATGGTATTGGAGAGAGGTAAAGTGCTTGTAGGTGTCAGTTTCATACTCTGCACCGTATACATAAGCCTTATCTCCATCAGTTCCATCCCTGTAGATTCCCCACTCTGGATCTCTTGGTAAACAAAGAGGATCTGCAGCTGCTCCTATATGATCATAATATGATCCCCCGGCGAATCCTATAATTTTTAAAGCTTTAATGTTATATAATATATAAATCAGTTATTTTAGAATCCTATAAAAATGTTACATGTATATATTAATAAAATATATTTTTATAAGAAGCATCCTTAAATATGAGGAAAAACATGTCATAAAAAGAAATAAAAAATGAATATCCTCTAACAGCTAAAATAAAAAATAAATAAACATTTATTGACCGGAATAAACTAGGTTCGCCTTGGAGGGACACGTCTTCTTTCCCCATCTTGTGTAAATAATTTTTCTGTTCTCTGTACCTAAAAAAAAAACAAAGAATTCAATGATTTATGACTTAAATTTATAAAATATTAAACCATACAAATATTAATTTAAATTTGTTTATAAAAACCTTCATCCTGATTGCAAGCGATCACTTGCTCCTTCAACTTTTTCATAGAATTCTCGATGACTTCAGTGAAGTTTTTGAATTCCCGCCTTAAAGCTTCTACCTGATGAGTTTCTAGAACAGACGACAGTTGTCCTGTTAGAAAACCCTGTAACATGTCTTTACAACTTCCGCTCTGTGTGTCTCCTTGTGTTGTCGGAAGGAGAAAAACCAGTACAAGATACAACTCCATCATCTGAAGTTTGAATTGTACATTAAAGATTTTGTAATTGAAATACTATCCTGGAGCATTGTAGAGTTGTTTGAACAATGAACTATATCAAGTCCAATAAAAAATAAAACAGCTGTCAAAAAAAATTCCAAAAGTTTTCTTATCATTATTTTAAAAACAATAATAATAGAATTCGTCTAATGACAGGATGCACAGCTTGTAAACTACAATGAATTCAAATTAATTTTATTAGTTCCTATATGTACAAGTACCTTTAATTCGTAATGAAAATTTCCTAGATTAAAATGAATGTGGTTTTTTGCACAAGGTATACACTGGTATATGTACTAGTATTCTTGTTGCATCGAATATGATATTGGCATTATTTACATTTGATATCAACCTACACAGCTTGAGACACGAAAAAGATAACTTAAAATGATATTAAATCCCAAATATGAGGTCCATCAAATTGTTATAAAACACCTAGAGATCAGAGACATAAATAATATTACGAAAGAAATGTTTCTTTCCCAAAGCAATCTCAAATAATACACGAAATGATGTATAAAAATATAAATTTTACAATGCACAATTTAATGCCTCCTACGAGAAATATCGGCCTGATAATGCAGTAAAAAACCAAACACAGATATTCAGTTTTGTCGATTATGTCATTTAATTGAATGACATAAAGTAAAATGAATAACAAATCATTAATGGGGATTAACTAATATTAAGCAATATAGGAAACATGTACAGAGGTGAAAGGTACAAGTGTGATCACCCTGAGACTGACTAGAAATTTACTTGCGGTGAAAATATCAGAGTACATGTAAATATGCATAAAATATAACATACTTGGAGGCGCCAAAACAATTGCGCCAATCCAAGAAATGTATGACGAGTTATTAGAAAAATAAAAAATTTGGACTAAAATGCAACATAATACAAAATCAAACAACCCATAAAGGTGGGTGGTGTTTTTTTTTTTTGCCACCGCACTACCAGGATAACAAAAATAGCGAAACAAAGTCAAAGATTTTGATTAGGTTAAAAAATCCTTAATTATCTGACGATGTAACATTTAACAGATTTCCCAAAGTGGCATAAATTGAATTATCTGTGATAATATTGTTTGATGTTTTTTTAATAAGAACGAAGACTGAATGCATTATAAAGAGTCAAATTATATAATTTTGATAAGATTATGATTGTTAATATAAAATAAATATTTCAAATGTATGTTAATAAAATTATCATAAAATAGAGATAAAGAAGAAAGATGGCTATAAAAAGTATGCGAATGGGAAATATATTAACTAATAATCAAATATGGAACAAGAAATAACATTAAAACATAAACAGTGTTGCCTTATTGCAGTAATTTTGGTAAAAGAATACTATCTCACCTTGGGTGCTATTTCATAAGAAAATATCACCAGATTAATTTTTCACTCTATTTTACATAAACAAGGGAACTGAAGTTAGTATCATTTCCAGTCAAAAACAAAAGAATGAAAAGAAAACCTTTTTGTTATCATACGAGGGGTGATCTTCGCAAACTAATTGAATAACTTCCGAAAAAGAAATGATATGTGGTTTAGGTGTTGAAAATTTTTCAAAGTAGTCCTCTTCTATGTTAATGCATATCTGCAACCATTCTGCCCATGCGCGGATCACGTGATATAGGCAATCACGTGACATGCTCTTTAGCGTTCTGTCACAGAAGCTTAAAATTTTTCGGAATCTTATATTTCTTACCATGCAAGTTAATTTTGCAACAAAACAGTCCATTTGTCAGAAATGGTCCTACCTTTGCAATAGTTTGGGTGGATAATGATATCCTTTTGCAAAATGAGCATGGTGGCCATCTAAATCCAAGACCTCTGTCTTTAGAGCGTCGTTTATTTCATGTGGATAAAGTATGGGTGCCTTCACTTTATCATTACTGATTGTGTTTAAAGTCTAAAGTAAACGATATTTTAGGGATTTTATAATTATATTACTGTTAAGATATTCATCTATTCTTCTAACTGTAAGTTGGCGATCTTTCAAATCAAATTGCTTAACAAAAGTCACGTCTCTCTCCCAGTTTGCTTTCACCGGGCAACAAAACAAACATCATTTTTGAACCTCCCCCTTCCTTAACTTAAACAATCAATCCAAATAATGACAAAACTTATGGCAAGTCTTTTTTCTTCATAAACCGTGTAAAAAATATTATTTACTTCTACAAAGGAATTTCTAAGATATACGTTTAACTTTACAGCCGTTTGTTTCTCGAATACGACTGATGCAACCATTTTTTGTCAAATGATCTACCTTATGACGTCTTTTTCACACTGTGACGTCACAAACACGGGGAAAAACGTTCGATTACATATGCTATATATAGAACATATTGAATGACTCTATGTGTGCCAAATTTCATTCTGATCCGAATTGCGGTTTTGTAAATATAGAGATAGTTCGCGAACTTTTTATTCACCCCTCGAATACTTATTTTGATACTAATAATTATACAGGTCAACAGAGCATTCTTAATTATCTTAGGAAACTGATTTTACGTGTGAAATTTCTATGCTTTAAGGTTTATTCATTCATTTGTATTGCTTGTATATATATACGATCAATCTTTGTTTTCTTCACCTTTTTATCCTAATAAATAGTTCAATGTTTCAAAACTACAAAATAATTTTAATAATGTTTCTATACATAGGTTAATGTGTTAAAGATATTTCCAGATGAAAGTTTAGAGATAAAGAACAGTATTCAATATCAAAAGTCCTTTAAACAATATAAAATAGCAGCAGAACTAATACGGATCTCTAAACCATCAGAGATGGGATAGCCATTGTTATATTTTGATAGCTGATATAAGCTTCCACTTTTGTTAAATTAAGATTTAGAGATTGATCCTATTCGGTATATAAAATGCTAAAGGTAAGAAACAAAATCTTGCTTACCCGTAGGGCACTAAGCTTCGATGGACATTTTCTACGTAACTACATTATAATCAATGAATTTTTTGCAAGATGTTTTACATGTTTTAGGTAGATATTGTTTAACAAGCCCATGACAACCACACCCGGTCAAAATGAATTTTTGCCCCTAAATTCAAGTTTATTTACCTTAATTCCATTCACTGAGAACATTCCTCGAAGCGAGGTACCATGTGTTTACAAGATGTCGTTTCTTACCTTAATTAGTATCTTTATATACCAATCTCTAAATCATAACAAAAGCGAAAAACTATATCATGTATATCAGATATTGAAATATAAGAATGATAGACAAGGAAATCATATATGTTTGATAAATCTTTGTGTCTAATAAAAATTTTCAGAAGTTGGGATGGGGGGTGGGGGTGTAGAGGGTTACACTGTCAATTCATCAGGTGCTTGTAGAAAAATGTGTATGGATAAAGTGGTCTGAAATGTCAAGACATTAATCTTATGATGGGCAGGTTTTAATGAGAACAAAACGGAGAAAGGATTTATTCCTGAATAACAACAACAACAATAAGAGTTGCAGTGATATGTGTTCAACTACTCGTTGTCTGTAGTGCACACAGTGTAGTCTAGTATAATAGGACAAGGGGGGGGGGGGGGCAGGTACCAAGGAAGAGTAAGCATCCCCTGTTGACCAGTCGCAAATGCGTAAATGCAATCTTTTGTGTTTTAACGCAGCAATTTTGCAGTTAAACGCAATACTTTTTGCGTTTAAACGCAATCATATTTTTGCGTTTAATCGCAATAATTTTCGCGTTTAAGCGTAATAATTTTTGCGTTTAAACTTGTTTGCATTGTTCAAAAGTAGAAAATAAACAATAAGATAGGAATTGTAATTTGTGTTTGTAAGGGAATACCGGTATAGATATCTATAAAGTATAAAGGAATTAAAAATTGGAGTTTATCTTTTTTGTTGGTTTAGCCCCCCCCCCCTCCCCCCTTTCAATTTGCTTCCGACGTCCATGAAGCTAAAACCATGTATTAAGGGGTTAAGGAAACGACTGATGAATATATATATATATATATATGTACATGTACATATTATGTACATGTATATTCACAATAAGGATATGGAGATAACGAACAGTATTCAATCTCAAAGTCCATTAAAAAATATAAAATAGAAGCAGAGCAAGCACGGACCTCCGAAACATCAGAGATGGGATCAGGTGCCATGGAGGAGTGAGCATCCCTTGCCGACCGGTCACACCCGCCGTGTGCTCCTTGTCATGATCAGGAAATAACGGAAAAAATCCGTCGTCAATTCAGTGTATAAATAATGGACTAACAATTGGTATGAAAAACGTCAGTCAGCATTTGACTCAATGATAAATTGTATTTGCTGACAAGTTCATTGTATCGACCATAGAACTTACGAAAGGATGACTTTAAACGAAACTGCTGATATTCTTGTTTCGTCAACTTGCTTGTCAATAATTTACCTTGTTTTAGAAATTGTTCATACGTAGAGCATGCTTTGATCACATACAGTAAACACGAGAATTAACACGAGAACTTAGGAGATGGAATCATATGAAATCAAAATTAAAATCAAATGAAAACAGATTGATCGATGTGAACTTCCAAATTGATATGTCTATTAATACCACTGAAACATTCTTAATTAGCTGTGATACGTAAGCAATTGATTTAAGGTTTCGTTAAAAGTGTAGGGTTCTAATAGATTTAAGAAACTCTGGTTGTTATAAGGATGCAATTGTTTAACTTCAATTTGCAACATTATGCAAAAAGACACAGAACCAAAAGGTTCTTCTTTAAAGAATCGGACCATAGAATTTATTACAATCTTTGGCTAATCGATGACTGATTTCAAACTACAAGACTATATTATTGTGTTTAAATGCAAAATGAATCCTTAGAAAGAAGGATTATTGCGTTAAAATACAAAGAGTACTGCGTTTAAATGCCAAAAATTATTAAGATTAACGCAAAAATTATTGCGATTAAACGCAAAAATATTATTGCGTTTAAACGCAAAAAGAATTGCGTTTAAACGCAAACCAGTAAGTATTTTGCGTTTAAACACAATAATTATTGCGATTAATGGCAAAGTTTTGCGTTTAAACGCAATAATCATTGCTATTAAACGCAATATTTATTACGATTAAACGCAATAAAAATATTCCTTTCTCTGTACTGGCCTCAGCGGGCTTCCGTATATTTAATTATACCTCACATTTTTTTTTAACAATCTGCAGGGGTACTTAGCAACATCATATTTGAGACATCTCGATAAATAAATATTAATACTAGTATTCAAAATCAATAAAAAACTTTTTTGAAATCACAAAATTTTACCAAAAATGGCATGAAAACGGATTACAGTAAAACTCGGTCGGTTAGTACGAACACAAATATTGCGATTTCAGGGATATAGCGAAGCTATTTTGGATCCCCAGTTATATAATATTAATGAAATTCTTGTACGAATATAACGAATAACGGATATAGCGAAGTAATTCTATAGTTCCTACATGTAGTGACTTCTTTATAACCGAGTTTTACTGTATTTCAAAACGATGATCAACAGTTCCCCGTAATTGCTAATAAATCTTCTTTGTACTAAACGAGCGTGCAAAGAAAATATTTTTAAACGTTACAAAACATATGACCAAGACTCATATTTTTAAATAAATCTAAAGAATCTATGTAAACAGTTTAGCCACTTTTTGTATTTATTCCTTATTTTTTTGAACAAACAGCACACACAATTTCTCTTCCCTCGACATAAGGTGGACATTTCAATGAACCACATCGTCCCTCTACCAAGTAGAGTAGGTAGCCATGGGTAGTTGCTTTTCCGCCATGCAGGGTGTCTGGATTCTCGTCAACACAATTGTATGTAGTACCAGCTGCGTGATCACGATACCCAGCCATTAGGTAGCCCTGGTACTCGAGTGTCCATCCTTTGTAGCAGGTTCTTCTTGCTAAAAATAGTACAATAAAACTATATATAAGTGAACAGTTTTCAAACGAAGAAAGAATTAATAGGTTTTGTTAAAAGTAGCTACATGTAGTTTACTGTACACATCTTTCAGGACATGTACTGTAAAAGCAGAAATTTTCGTTTATTTCGTTGTCACAATTATCAACCAAATTAAACCCCACACGAAATTTTATATGACTATGAAATATATAGGGTTACTTTCAAAACAACGAAATTAAATGCCAATGAAACTATTTCAGAAGAAGAATCAACGAAAATTGGTGATTCTACGGAATATAAACGCAGGTTTTCTCTTCTAAGATTATACTAGTTGACAATTCCGAAGAAATTAAATTCGCCCAATTGCTTAATGATTTGGTATTGACGAAAAGTACATGTACTTTTTCATTTTAAAATTAATGGCTCATAATTTTGTCAAGAAATATTTCCATAATAATGATTTCTAATTTTTCTCTCTGTGAAAGCCCTTTGAAAGTTAGCGGAGTTGATTTCTTGTTAATTCTACCGGAATGTAAATTAGGCAGGTCGATAGGTCAGGAGCTAAGGAGGCCTGATATGTATGCAAATCTCGTGCGCATCTGTCTCTGTGTCTGACGCTAAGGAGGCCAAATATGCTGTAAATCTCGTGCGGCTGTCTTTGCGTTTGACGTCAGTGGCCGAGGACTATTGAACTTGGCATGGTAATCCTTGTGTAATTTAAATCTATGTCTACATTTTAAAAATCTAAATCTACAATTTTATATTACAATGAAATGGAAATATAAGGAATCCCTAGTTAGTATAGTAATAAGGGATATCAACAATCATATCGCATAACGGGCTTCGCCCGTTATTATCCCATGTTTCCCACAATCGTTGATGCCTAGCATACTATACTAACTAGACAGTGAATCCCTAAATAAACAGTCATATATTACGTCTCTATCCAACATTTATTTGTAAGCCTGTCATATCAATTCACTCGCCTGGAAACATTTCTACAACAGATCTGTTTTGAACAAGGCAAACTGCACAGGGAATGTCTTGATGATTAAGTGAAGTTAAGCGACCCGGGAAGGAATACACTTCGTACTCTGCTCCATAAACATAAGCCCTGCCGTCATTGTTTCCGTTCACGTATGTCCCCCACTCGGGGTCCCTCGGTAAACAAAGGGGATCTACAGCCGCTCCTTTATGGGTATAATGAGATCCTCCAGTGAATCCTATAAAGTTTAACGTATTTACAATGCATTAATTATGTTTGTTCATAAATTAAACTAAACAACATCATAACATGCATCTTCCAGTTATCTAAGAATGCTATAACCATGCAGTCATCATACATAATTATATTATCCCAACGTTGGTAACTAATTGCAATGTTTGTTTTACGTTGAAATTGGCTGTATTTGGTCATTTGTTTATAACCTACAATTATTGATACTTTCGGGATACATTGATCTCAATTAGTTGGACTAACGTTGGCCAGGTTTCTCATATAGTATCATTCATTAGCCCAAAGGTCTAACTAGTGGACCAACGTATAACTATGCTTAAGTCCAGTGTAAGTCCGACATTGGGCCGACGTCCATGCAATCACAATTCAATGTAACGTCAATGCAGTGCCAATATAATTATCTTAGATTCAAGATAAGTCCGATTTAGGCCAACATTAGCACGTGTACATCATTGGGCCAACATTATGAGCTTTGGCCTAACGTTGAACCAACATATTGATGTTTAATTTGAATCTGTTCAACATAATGCTTTCAATGGATACTAATTACATGGATATGTCCCCTAAATGAGAATGAAATTACATGTACATTCAAAAGAATTAAATACTTACACAACCAATTATATTTGCAAATATATAATATATATACCAGAATAAACAAGTTTTGCGTTGTAAGGACAAATTTTCTTTCCCCATCTTGTGTATACTATGTTTTTGTTTCCTCTGCCTACGAAAATCAAAAAATTCCATTTTAGATGATATTTAATCTTTCAATGTCATACCGAATGGTAAATATTAACCAATACATACAATATTAATGTGTTACCATCATCCTGCATGCTTGCATTTACTTCCTCTTTAAACTTTTTCATAGATTTCTCAATAATGTCAGTGAAGCTTTTGAATTCCCGCCTTAAAGCTTCAACCTGATATACTCCTAAAGCAGACGACAATTGTCCTGTTAGATAACCCTGTAACAAATCTTTACAACTTCCGGTTTGTGCGTCACCAGTTGCCGTGCGAAGAAGTAAAAGCAAGACAGGATAAAACTCCAGCATCTGAAGAAAAAATTAGACATTCAAGAAATCCAAATATGAACATAACTTAGATACGATAATATCCTCAGGCTAATGTTCAATGTAGAGCTATTTTAAACAAAGTATTTTGCAGTCAATGAAGAGAAAAATATCAAAAAAAAAATCTTTATCATAATTGGATGCTTACTTTTAATATGTATGAAAAGATACACAACTTATAATCTACAAAACAATTTAAAAACTTTTTTATTTTATCACCTTGATGATAAATGTTTTACTAGATTAAAAATGTCGATTTCGGTAAGTGCATTTATTTATATTATTTTTCCAACAATGTCATGATATTTGCAAATTAATTTTAAAAATAAACATCTGATATCAACCCACACATCTTAGACACGGAAAGGATAACTTAAAATATTATTTAACACCGACATAAAAATCCCTCAAATTGTAATTAAACACATAAAAGTGAGAGAAACAAGTAAAACAAACATTTTTATTTTCCCAGCAATCTGTGATGCATATGATATTATTTAGCAATCACATTATAATATTAACATTGAAAATTTTATGTTTGTCTAAATAACCAAGAAGACTGAAAACATTAAAGAGTAAAATACTATTTTAGTTAGATTCAGAAAGTAAAGTTGGTAAATGATTCCAACATATTTTCATGAAAGTATGAAAGAATATTAAGGTAAGAAAAGAAATTGCTTACATGTAGGTATACAAAAGAACATTATCTGTCTACGTGACCTCTTTCAATACTGAGCATTGCAATTAATGATAATATATACGTCGAAATTTCTTATATTCAAATCATGCAATGATAACGTTAAAAAATTAACATTACAACATATCACGCTTTACAAAAAACAAATTAACAGTTTACGATAGACAGTATCAATTTGCGATAAAAAGTTTACAATATACAACCATAATTATTTCATCAGAAAATCAATAGTTTTATAATATTCCAGTTGGTTTTCAGAGTTATATTTTTGTTTTAAACGCAGAGCTCTATATTGCATAAAAATAATAAAAAAAAATTAAATGTAATAGAATCGTACATATCTTCAAAAATATACTCATCAATTTTCCTAAAAAATTAACAAACTTGGAATAATTGTTTTTCAACTTTGTTTTAGTTTTGAGAAGGCATCTCTACGTATGATCAATTTCTAAAACGAGGTAAACAAGTTGATTAAACAGGAATATCAGCAGTCTCGTTTAAAGTCGTCATTTCGTAAGTTCTATGGACGATACAATGACCTTGTCAGCAAATACAATTTATCATTGAGTCAAATGCTGACTGACGTTTTTCATACTAACTATTAGTTCATTATTTATACACTGAATTTTCCATTTTTTCCCGATCATGACAAGAGGCACACGGCGGGTGTTTACTTCTCCATGACACCTGATCCCACCTCTAATGTTTTGGAGGTCCGTGTTTGCCCTGTTCCAGTTTTGTATTGTTTATGGACTTTTGATCATGAATACTGTTCGTATCTCCGTTCGTATCTCCATATGTTTCTTTTGATACTATGATAAGAAGACTTTAATTCTGTTCAAGAATAACCTTAAGAGGTAAAAAAATATTTTTGTCAGTTGTATAATACTTTTAATATGCTTATCTTAACATTTCTTTTGTAGTGTTATCAAAAAACCCTGGTAATGTATACGTAGATAATGTATATAACAAAGAACTTTAGTATTATTTCAACACAATGCACGATTTTACATTCAATCTAGTTTTAGTAATTACTCATTTTATCAATAGCGTTTAAAGTCAGTATTTCCTAAATTTTATGATTATAACATGTTTTTAGCGTCCATGTTAACAAATAATTATATTAATAATATGCTTTCATGTAAATTACTTGAATCTGATTCGTCGAGAAACATTTGATAAAAAAAACACTACTACCCGCTGAATAATGAAGCCACGCCCTCCTGCATAGCTACAGTCAACATTGCTTGATGACGGGTGGTATTCCAAAAAATAGCGACTGCACGGAATTTATGCGCGCACGGTTCACTGTATTATGTGTTTGTATAAAACATTCAGTATAATATAATAAATATTGCATGTAGTTCGTGCCTGTTTTCAAGATATTTATTTTACAAGGTTTTCTTGGGGTGAATAAATTTATTTATATACACTTTCTTTTGTGTTTTTAATTTGTATGTGTATCGTATATACAAAAACCATCCTTTTTTCTTTTAGTGTAATAAATTTCAAAGACCTCAGATTTTCTTTGTTTATTATTATTCTTCTTCCCTATTATTCTTATTTTTCTTCCGCTGATTTTTTGTTTTGACATTTATCGAAAAGACTTTTTGTTCATAATCATTAAAAGTACATTTGGTATGAACATTTGTTTTGCAAGAAATGCTTGTTATGGCTACTCCTTCGAAACCGAAAACCATAGAAATATGAAACCTTCACTAAAGTATTTGACTAATTGAGAGGACTCATTTACCGAAAGTATTCGGTGACTCTTTAGATTGCCCCTGAAAGTCTTTAATTTTACAAATAATTAAATATTTTCAAAACAAGAAGTTGTAGAGACATGGGACCAACTGCATAAGATTCATTGACCTTTGACCTTTAAATTTATGCAAAGATCAAACGTCAAGGTCATTCCATAAACGAAAAATTAAGCCTTTTTTACATCTCTTTTGTCTTTTAACATATACTAAATGTCTTGGCATCAATTATATGTAATCAAAACTATTTCAAAGATTTCATTCATGTTCCCTAAGACTGACCCTTTTAAAAGTTATTGCCCCTTATGTGAAAATCCTTGTTATCGCTACTTCTTCGAAACCGTACACCGTAGAACTTTTCATTAATGTCTAGATGTCTTTATTGCAAAGTATTTGGAGACCCTTCAATGAGTTATAGCCCCTGAAACTTTTCGAATTTTACAAATAATTAGGGCCCCGCAAGGATTTGCGGGTGCCCTATAGTAATCACTCTGTCTGTCCGTCTGTCCGTGTCATCTTCCCCACAAATTTTCTGTTTTTTTCTAAAACTTTTTTTATGGTTGCCTAATCAAGTTCAAATTTGGTATGGTAGTTCAGTTAAAATACATATTTTGATGCTAAGTTTGGTTCTCTATGTCTTCTGGTTTGGAGCTGGGGTGGTTATCCCGTTGATATAGCTCATGGTTGCCCATATCAAATTTGGTATGGTAGTTCACACAGAAATACATATTTTGATGCTAAGTTTGGATCTTATGTCCCCTGGTTTGGAGCTGGGGTGGTAGGTTAGATTCCTCAACTTTATATAAAATGCATTGGCAAAGAGAGATAACTGCTAAGATGTTCCCATAAACTGAATGCTGCTATGAGTCCCTTGGGATTAATTAGCTTTCCTCCTGAAGAAAATCCAGAGCATTATCTTTATCTGTCACATTGAGATGAATTACCACCTCTATCTGCAAATGAAGGTTGTTTTGAAGTTAAGTCAATTTGGAATGCTAAAACACTCTGAAATGTGGATTTAAATATAAATTTTTATAATTTATCTTTGTTTAATAGCTATGATTTCATTGAATTCTAAAAACAAGAAATAGATTAAAGAAGATTTTTTGATTTACTTTTTTTCACTTTATGTTAATTCAAGAATATTATTAATTTTTAAGGTAGTTGTATAAAAACCCCATTCTATCATTAATACTGAAAAAGTTCTTTTGTAACTTAATTTAGAAGAAAATGATGAGAGAGGTACAATGAATCCCTTGGGATTAATTATCTAGTCTGCTGCAGAAAATTTAGTAGGCTTTTCCTTATCTGTCACTTTAAGATTAATGAAAACTTTTGTCTGCAACTGCTGTTTGTTTGAAGTAAAGGTCAAACCTTCATGATATTTGAATGTTCAGGAATTATCTTGAAATTTTAAGAATACGGTTGCTTATTCTTCGTACATTTTTTAATCATTCCGTAAAAAATTCTACCCCATGGCGGGGCCCTTGCTGACTGGTCAGTTTTCTAGTTAAATATTTTGAAAGTGAGAAGTTGTAGAGACAAGGGACCAACTGCATAAGATTCAATGACCTTAGACCTTATTTATATCAAAGGTCAAGGTCATTCCAAAATTAAGAAATTAAGCTCCATTTCTATCTCTTTTGTCTTTTAACCTATACAATTTATCTTTGCATCTTTAATATGTACTTTTCAAACTATTTCAAAGAATTCATTCTTGTCCCTAAAGATTGACTCTATTAAAAGTTCTAGCCCTTTGTACGAAAAACCTTGTTTTTGCTTCTACTACGTAACCGTAAAACGCAAAGACATGAAACCTTCACTAATGTGTTAAGGGACTTTAGTCACAACTTTTATGTCTTACTGCTAAAGGATCTGATGATGCCTTGAATAAGTTATTGCCCTTTAACGCTTTTGTGCTTACTATTAAACCTCAGAACTTTAAAACTATAAGTCATAGAGGCATGGGGTTAATTGCAATGTGATCCTTGACCTTTGACCTTGAAAATTATTTGAAGGTCAAAGGTCAAGGTTTTCAAATTTTTTTTTAATTTAATTTTTTTCACTTTTAAGCCATTTCTGGTTTCACAATTTTTGCGTGAAATTTAAATTCAAAGGAATAAATATTAAATGTAATTGAAATTCAAAGAAGGTGGAAAGACCTATATAAAAATTAGTCTCCTAGTTTTTTTTTTTTTTTTTTTTTTTTTTTTTTTTTTTTTTTGCTTTCGTGCCTGTAAGATATTTATTTTAAAGGTAATAAATTTAATTACAATTTCTTTTGATTTTTAATGTAATCGATAAAAAGCTGTTATTTCTAGTGCTATAAATTACATCAGATTACTTTTTCCTTCAAGTAATCCTGGTTACTTTTACCATAATTATTTGTTTAATATTCATACATTTGGTCATTTGTAAGATGTTCACGAAAGAAATGGTAAGCTTTATTCAATAATCATTTACCCACTCTTTAGATTGACTTTAATTATTATTAAAATGAATGCGGATGAACATGTCCATAGATGCTATTTTTTTAAAACAGATCTGAATTCTGCATCATATGAATATGTATGTGTTACCATTGTAAAAAAAACTAATTCATAAATCAAATTAGAAATAATTATGATTGGAATATATGGATTCAAATGGGATTTGTCTCTTTTGCTGGTGAACTTCTCTTTGCTAGATGTCTTTACAAGAATTACCTGATAGCGTGGATACTTCACCAAAATAAGCTGACTCATTGCATGCCCCAACTGCTAAATAAATTATTCATCGTTATGCTTACGAACTTGTTATTCATATCAGTCAAATATACTTGTTAAAATAAACATTTTGTTTTATCAAGATTTATTGCATGATTTATAGGAACTCAAATCAACAATTGCCTACACAACATATACATAAGTTTGATTAGATATTCCCTTTAAGGCTCAAAACCCCTCTGCCTACTAATATAAAATGTTGCTTGAACCTTGATGATTTTCCAAAAGAAATATATACATTCGAGAAATGGAATTCTTCAACATACTTAACTAGCCATTCTGATTGTATATATACAAGTATTCTGACCTTAATTTTAGGATATGATTGAGTTTCTGATTGACAATATCTTTGCGTTATTGAATATCAGGTTTTCCAACTTTTTAAAAAAATTTCCATGGGAACCAATTGCACCGTTATGTTTAGTCTATCAAAGAATTTTTTTCCCCAAAATATCAACATGAAAAGAAGAAAACACTTGCCGTGACCTCCAACTTAATTCACATTAAGATATACTGTCTAGTATATATCAACAACGTACATTACATAAATTTATTAAAAACATTACTTCTATTCATATGTATTCTTTATATATCCCAGAGAAGTTGTAAAAAAACATACCATAGGGTCAGACACATCTGTTTCATATTTAGATCTTTTTTTTAGAGGAAACACGTTAATGATAACCTAACAACATATCTTAATGATAAAGGTGATGACTGCTACTTCAAACTTTTCTTTCATGAATACGCAATCTGTAGCTTTTATGTTTATATAGTATAGATGTATATTCTTATCATCTTCATATCAGGTTTATGTCTCTCAGATGATTCCATACGCAAAACCATACGAATGATCATTTTTAACAAGAAAAGCTATTAAACAATAAGTTGATGAAACAAGGATATAAACTGTATTGATTGAAGCAAGTTCTTAAGTCGATACAATGACCTTATCAGCAAATATGAACTATCATCTAATGCTGACTTCTGTTTCTCAGGCCATTTTTTACACACTGAAATTTCCACGGATTTTTGGTTTAACCGTCCAAGACCAGTAGCAAACGGTGGGTGTTACCGTTCAACAAGAAACCTCTTAATGCCACCTGATATCGTCGCTGATGTTTCTGGAGGTCTGTGCTTGCTCTACTTCCGGTTTGTATTTTTAAATGGACCTCAAGCTTGAATGATGTCCGTTCTCTCTATATTTCAATTTACTTGTATATAAATTGAGAACAATTACCTGGTACCAACTTGATATATTTAAATGAACTTGAAATAAAATATAACACGGCCCTATCGCATTTATCTTATATTTTAATACATTTATTTTACTGGGAAAAGTATGATGAAAGAAAGTTATCCAACACCATATCAGTTTGATTTTCTATAACCTCAACTTCCCTTACTTGCATTGCAAGATACCCTTATGACATAAACATAGGGTTTAAATGATTCGTTGGTAAGGGCATACATGTATACATACAATATCACTTCACAACTTCTACTCAATTTTGTGGTAGGGAAAAAAATGACAGGTGTGACCAGTAAACAATGGATTCTTACTTGTCCATGGCACCCAAAATCAAACCAAACCTGGTGTTTGAGACATCTGTGTTTGCTATGATCTCCATTTGTATTGCTTTAATGGATTTTTTAACTTGATTGCTGTTTGTAATCCTCATATTTCATTAACTTTGTAAAAAAATTAGTGGAATAAGTAAAAGGGGTTGTCCTTTTTTGGTGAAATCACTGCTACTTCACAATTTATCATTCTTCTATATTGAATAAGAAAACAGTTGAAGTTTAGAGCTGCAAAATTTCTTGCTACTAGTATTACTATTTGCAAGACAGAGGCATGGGAAGAGTGTGTTTTGTGATAATTTTTTGTGATATAATAATTTTTTTTCATTTTTTTTTTTGTTTTTTAGCCACTTTCTTGTTTTTATTGATTAATTAAGGCAAAGGTCTCTATATATAGTTATTGATAATACAGTGAGTGAAGAAAAGGGTAAAACAAAACAGTTATAGACTGGGATTCTTACATCATGTGATTTATTGGAGCTGAAGGTGAAAATGTTTTCAACAATTCATATGTTGCCCTCATACCCAGTCAATAACTGTAAATATTATTTTTAAACATTCTAATTATCTGAAAGTATACAGAAAAGTGCAACAAGAAATTAATTTAATAAAAAAATATTTTTATTTGTAATTTTAAAACAAAATTTATGTAGAGGAGATTGAAGGATATTTTGTATAATTGTGAAAAGTAAATACATTGTAATTTCCACATAATAATTTAAACATATTATCAAAATATGGAATGTTGTAAAACAAAATTTAGTTAAAGTTATGTTCCAAATCTTGTACATGTACAAGAAGAATATAATAAATTGAAGAAGATGACATATATAATGATTTAAAACATACCAAATATGAAACTTTTTTTATATTTTAAGAAATCTTTCACATAAACATGTACATTATACACTGTACAATGTAAATAGAGGAAAATATCACACACTGAACATCATAATGTATAAATATAATTTTTACAAAAAAAAATTAGATCACAGGTCAAAGATTCCATTCTATAAATTCATAGACACCAAAAGGATTGAGTCTTGATCTTCTAAACTAAAATCTGATGTGTGAAATATACACTAAAATGTAATTCATTAACAACATAGAATTTCATTCCATTAAACATACACTTTCATATAATTTACAACAGAATGCTTTTATAGAAAGTAACAAAAAGAATTTCATTTTAAAAAATAAATGTATCAGGGATGTATTTATGAACAAAACTGTTTAGCTATCCATTAAGAACTACAGACATGTATATCTTACTCTAGTGCAGATATTACAATAGCTTTTAAGCTAATTGAGAATACATATTCTTCAATTATTTAAAATTTTTGAGAGCAAAAATAAGGCAAAGTAAGGATTTTTTTGTGAAAATCAAAACATTTACTTCTAAAAATGGGGTAAAACTTAAACAATTACAGTTTATGCTTGTAATGGGATACAAAGTAGTAACAAAGATAGACATATAAAAAAAATTCCTTATATTGTTTATAACAATGTTGCATATTATATTTAACATTCAAACAAGCTCTCTCTAATCTCGGCTGTGTAAAAGCTAGGCTACCATATTGCTATGCAGTCACTAAAACAACAAAATATGCATCTTTAACATAGACTAGATAATGTGAAAAGACCTTTAGATAAGTTTTATTATGAGGGTGAGAGAAACAAAATGATATGAAGTATATGCTGAAGAGTTCTTACATGTTGAATGAACTTTGACACGTGTTGAGAATTGACCCTGTACATGTACTTTGTGTAAAAAGAGAGAAGAATTCTAGTAAGCACCAATTGTGTTACAGTGTTAAAAAAAATAATATTTGAGATTTTCTTTTAAAGAAAAAAAAAGAACATGATAAAAATTAAATTAAAAATAAATATTACTCAGATCACAGAAATATTTGGTCATTTTTTGGAAACAAAGAAAAACAATAGACAACATTATAAAATAAACCCTCCATACAAATCAATCACTTCTTTGGCATTCCTTTGGGTGAACATACCCAAATAAATTCAGTTCATATAAGGCTGTTAGTACAGTGAACAGTATGTAGACGATCATGAGAACCAGTCCATATCTCTTGGTCAGTTTCCATCCATTAGCATGGGTCGCCACCAATAGAAAGACGATGGTTAACAGCAAGGTCAAGGTCGAGTATAGCAAACCTGTAATGGAGAATTATCAAACACAAATTTTAAAATTCTAATAGAATTTGAAGCTAAGGTGTCAATATAAAACTTGTATATATACATGTAGACTTTGGTTATGGCATTGCACTTATAATTATAGAAAAAGTATATCTGACACCTGCAAGTACAGGTCCGAAATATCATTTTTAGTTTAGAAATGTATCTTTTAAAACCTTTTTCACATTTTATAAACATTAACAGACATAAAAATAAATATTTTCGTCCCAAAGTGTGTACCTTCTTGCTGTTCATGACAATCATGGTTTTCAAAAAATATGGCATTACACTCATTATCAATGGTCTAAGAGAGGTAATCACTCACCTTCACTGTAAACTTGTATAGGCTTTTTAAAGCCTCCTTGAGCACATTTTAGAAGCCATGGAACTCCTAAACAAATGAGGATATCAAAGACATTGCTCCCTACTGCATTAGATACTGCCATATCACCAAGACCTGTCAAAAAAGCACAATTGGATTCAAGCTGATTGAAAAAAGGGTAAAACTGCCTTAACAATAGCAAATGTTGAATAATTCTATTAATTTTTTAATTATAATCATTTATGAAAAAATTATTAAATTTCATTAAAATAACATATAAATTTAAAAAATGAATGAAATTTGAATCTACTTTCTCCACGAGGAACAAAAATTACCATTGATTTATTGCACTTATGCTAAGATATACTGACCTTCTCTGACAACAATGACACTAGATATTACATCTGGGAGACTGACCCCAAAAGCCACAAAGGTCAAGGCCATTATTGAGTCAGGTATATGTACAGTGTAGCCTGAAAAAAATACCATGTGAGCAAAATGTAACCTTTCTACGTGCATGTATACTAGGCTTAATTAGCTCATGTCAACTTATTTGTCAACAAACATTTAAAATTATCTCAGATAATTACCTATAATGGTGATCATCCACACCATGACATAGGAGAACACAGACAGCCAGACCAGTGAAATAGAGAACGTCAGAATAAAACACCTCCTCCACCGGGCTCGGCGGCAGTCCGGCACCGTCAGGTACAGGAGAACTTTGATTGGTAGACACACCACAAATATACCCCGCCTTATACAGCCCGCCGGCATCTCAAACACAGACTCGGGCTCCTCTGTTGGCTTAGGACCTAAAGATGGGATATATCTCTATTTTTAAATAAATGCATCTACATACTAAAAATGTTTTGAAATATAGTAATAGATAAATCAGCTGAATTAAAACAAAGGCTGTATAGATGACTGACCAATCTCTTTGTACATGACATCAGTCTCGCTGATTTCTTCCTCCGAATTGTAATCTGAGTCAGGAGAGGCAATCTGTGTACCATCCCACTTATCTACAATAAAACAAAATGAAATATTGTAAGATCTCTCCCTGTTATGTTTTAACATTTCAAGCAGGGTAAAAAAATTACAATTATTTTCTCTGTTTATTTTAAATTAAGAGCTAAATTACTGATCTATTAAAACACTGGTGAGACTTATAAACAATATCCCTCACTAGGTATGTTACAACAATTAAACAATTATGCTGCATAGCTTATTTTTTTTTCAATCTTGGCACTAAATATTAAAAAAAAGCAATCAGTTATGCTGATGGCCAATATCTTAGAGAAAACAGAGTACAATTATGTTTTCTTGTACTTTGAAGAGTAATATATCATAGATACATGTATGTATTAATAAAATGTTCATGCATATATGCATGTTTTCCTATATTGGAGGAGGCAAATATCGATCTCTATCATAAAATTAAGACATGTAAGTAAATTTAAGAACAACTAGTTTTAAATTATTTCCTATTCCCATAAATTCAAAATCAATTATTATTCTGAGAAAGATTTTCAGGAAAAACGTTATAATTACACTTCCTCTAATTTGTTGTGAACACACTTATATGATTTCCTGCCAACATTAGGTATCTAAAATCTAAAATCCAACAGCACTGGTCTATCAGAAAATACATGCCAAACTAAATAAAATAATCAAATACCGGTACTTGAAATTCTAAAACCTAATGATAACTATCAAATACAAAGAACTGTATACAGTCAGGGGTGTGACTGAAATCCATCATTTTTAAAAATGATGGATAATGGTCATTTCTTCTAAGTATATAATGTACACAATTTTCTGATTTTTGTAAATATGACCTTTTCATCATATTTCCATTCTCAAGTCAATTTTCCCATCCCATTTACTACAGTAATTAGATATAGTACACTATCCTGCCATAGACCCTTGTGTAGAGAAACATCTTGACAAGTAATTGAAACCAAAATAATTTAGTGCGCCCCGTAAAACTAATGAGATAATTAAGTGCGCCCAGACCTAACAATTTGATAAAAAATGATGAAAAACAGTCATTTTTAATATCAGAGATAACTCTATTTCTAAAATAAATTTCAAAATAGAAATGACTGTTTTTCATCATTTTACTAAAAAAAGATGAATTTCCATCATTATTAAAAATCAATTTAATGACTGAAAATCATCATTTTTAAAAATGATGGATTTCAATCACACCCCTGACTGGTATATATATGCCTTTTTTTGAGATCTGATTCATGTACAGTGAATTTTTTTTTTTTTGTATATTCATAAGATAATCAAATCTTCATACCTAAGTATTTATAAGACAGCAAAAATAACTATAGATACTGTGGGCATTGAGCTCACTTATACAGATGATACCCCCACCTCCCATATGGTTATAATCATGGTAAAGACTAAGTTCTACTCTGAAAGACCCGAAATAAGTGTAACATCATCAAAAGTAAAATAAGAGCTGGTCACAATGGCATAATGTAATAAAGAATCTGTGAAAATTTCATTCAGTGGTAAAATAGGAGATGCGGATAAGAGATGGGTACCCAAAAGCATAACAGACAGACGGACGAACCGATGGATGATCCCGATCACTATATACCTTAATTCCCACTTTTCAAGCTAAGGTATAAATATCTATAATAGTAGAGTTGTTACCTCAATACTGAGTTGTTTTGGAATATTGAAACAATAATCATATTGGCATACACATGTACTTAAATGCAAATATCTTAAAATTTTTACAATCCCACAATTCCTCACCTCCACCGTTCTCCATCTTGGACACTGCCCCATTTCCTACCCCCGGGTTCCTGAGCTTCTCATACAGAACTACAGACTCAGGCTCATTCTTTTTTCTGGAGAACGGCTTACAACAGTGTTTGAACTTTGGTACGATCCACTCCTCTATAGTGGAGTTAAAGTACATCAGAACAATGTAGGCTACATAGAACAACACCAGGATCAGAGCTTCATACCTACAAAATATAATGAAAAAAAACTAGCTTAGATGTGCTCATATTAGACATTGTACATATATACAAAGGAAATATATTGATTTGCCTCATTTTCCAAGTAAGAGTACTCATTTATCATGCTAATAATGATTAAAAAACTATAACTGATACAAAGTTTAAAATGTGATAAAATTCTTCATTCATTTCTTAGTACACATATTATTGTTATTGTATTGAATATGTAATATGCATCTTAACATATTATGGCCTTATACAATGCAGAGAGAGAGAGAGAGAGAGAAGGGGGACTATATGTCTTGTAAAAAACATTTGCAATTTCAAATTCCCAATTTTGCCTATAGGCAAATGTACATGTATTTTCTCTCTCCATAATTTTTTCTCATTTTTATAAGCTTTGACTTTTCTAAACCAAAGGGAAAAAAGTAAATTAAAATACAAACAAGAAACAGTGTAATCATGTTTAATTTTTAAAACAAAGTTTATATATGTGATACAATTATTCCATTGGATAAGAGAAATTTATTTTAAACTATTCAAGTGTTAAAACTACCTTTATTCAAAAGTGACCAAGAATCAATAATTATAATAAATTTATGTGTGTACAGTTTTTAAATATATCTTAATTTTTATATTTCTAGCTATTGATCAAACTTTTTATCTATACTCTCTACAAGCTGTTGTCCAGTTTTAATCATATACTATGTGCTATAAATTCCTTTATGTGCCTTATACAATGCAGAGAGAGAGCAAGAGAGAAAGAGAAATAGAGAGATATCCAAATATAGTATCCAGAGGGAGTGTATCAATAAATCCAACAAATTTAATATATGCATAACTTGCTGAAACTTTAAAAAAATTATTTCATCAAAATTGCAAAAAAATTTCAAATTTTTCCCAATTTTGCTTCTTCAAATGTTTTCTTAATGCAATTATCACAAGCTCTCCTAAATGTATATATTCTCTCTCATACAACATAGTTATGACATAAAGGTTGACTTATCTCATTTAATCTTTAATGAATTTATAACAGTTTATTTTTTCATCACATATTTTATCAAAGCTGGGAAAAAAGACACTGCATTATAAATGAATGGTAAAGAATCAAAACTAAGAAAATAAAAGCTACATTAAAGCAAAACTTGTATAATATTCACTGAAATATGTGACATAAATTTTTTTATAGACAATTACAGGTGGATTTCAAAGATAAAAAATTATATAATGGGCATCAAAAATGGGTACCCTCCTTGCCAACAAAAATATATTATGTACTGTTTGCCAAATTTCAACAAATAATATTTTGATGTTGTATGATTGACTTTAAGACACATAGCAAATTTGATGACATCATATCGAGTAGTTTACACTGTTTTTACTTTTGACAAATTAAGCTGGACCCTGTATTTTGAACAAGAGGCCCAGGGGCCACAGCGCTCACCTGAGCACATCAGGCTAAACAGAAACTATCTACACTACCTGAGGATGTTATATAAATATCACTTTAGCTTTGAAGTACTTGAAAAGAAGATTTTAAAAGGTTTCTCTATATATCCCTATATAAAACTTGAATTTTGGCCCCACCCTATAATTATAATTATAAATTTCCACATGAGTTTCATCTCTCCTGGCCCAGTGGTTCTTGAGAAGAAGATTTTTAAATATATATTTCTAATTTTTACCCTTGCCACAGGGGTCATGATTAAATTTTGAATCTACACTACCTGAGGATGATTCCACATGAGTTTCATCTTTCCTGTCCTAGTGGTTCTGGAGAAGAAGATTTTTCTTATATATTCCTACAAAACTGTTGTTGCCAGTTTTTGACCAAACTTGATGTACCTATGATGATTCCACATGAGTTTCATCTTTCCTGGTCCAGTGTTCTGTTTTTAAAGATTTTTCCTATATATTCCTATGTAAAACTTGGGTCGGTCATTTTGGCCCCACCTTTGCCCCGGAGGGTCATGATTTGAACAAACTGAAATCTGCTCTACCTGAGGATGATTCCACATGAGTTTCATCTTTCCTGGTCCAGTGGTTCTGGAGAAGAAGATTTTTAAAGATTTTTCCTATATATTCCTATGTAAAACATGTCCAGCTATACAAACCTCTACCTAGATGATTCCACATGAGTTTCATCTTTCCTGGCCCAGTGGTTCTGGAGAAAAGATTTTTAAAGATTTTTCCTACATATTCCTATGTAAAAATTTTGGCCCCATCCTTGCCCTGGGGGTCAATTGCTATGAATACAAAATCAAAAAGTTTCATCTTTCCTGGCACAGTGGTACTGGAGAAGAAGATTTTAAAAGATTTTTCATATATTCAAATATAGTATCCAGAGGGAGTGTTCCATGTGTTTCAATTTTTTAAAAATGCCATAAATTTTTCACAAATTCAATATATCCCCTTGCATAACTTGATTCCCCTTCAAACTTTGTGCCAAGTTTGGTTGAATATTATTTCATTTTGATCAAAATTGTTCTATAAAAAATTTGTACAAAAGTCTTAACAATTATTTTAAAATATCAGTAATTGTACGAATCCTGAATATTCAAACAAATATAAATGATCTATTGCTTAAAAATTAAAACAAAATTTACCATAAGATGTACTTTATAAAAACGGCGAAGGTCTGTCAAGAGCAAAGGTATGCAAGAGCACAAAAACAGATTTATATGCAATTTTCTTAAATATTAGCAATTAAATCACAAGATTAATATATGGAGGTGTCTCTCAGTTTTTTTGCAAAGAAATCGAAAGATTTATCAGGAAAGATGGAATCCACTACATTGAATTTCTTCAAAGATGATAATTAATTAAGAAAGTTAATGTTTTTTCACATTAACAACATTTGCATCTACCTTTTGACTTGATTTATCATTAATTAAACACCTTTCTCCAGGAAATTGTTCCATTTTCCAGTTAAGGGTCATACCCAAAAATGAGTTCAAAAACAATCAGAAATTGGATAAAATATGTTACGGACATGTGTTTGAATTAAAATAGATTAATAAGTAAAATCATGAAGACTAAATCATTGAAAAGCGTCGTTCCCCAATGACATTATTTATTGTCAAATCTGGAAATTTTTACATTTTATTTTGTAATCTGGCTCAAAATGCTGTTGATTAATTTTTATGTTTCAAAATTTTGCACTTTTGCTACATTTTCTTATTGTTGAATTATTTATAAGAAAAATATTTTTGCGTGCAATTCCCTTTGCTAAAAATTTATCATTTCTGATAATAATTAAGAAAATTTAGACATACAATCATGTATTTGAGATTTATTATTATGTTCTTTGTTCAAGTTGTATACTAAAACATTAAAAATTAAACAGAAATAGAGTGATTTCCCCTGTCAAAATTACATGTACCTCAGAGACACTTTTACACATGCATATGGGACATTCCCTCTTAAAACATCCGATATTTACAGATATAGCTGAAACATGAACAAAAGCATTGTACATTATGGTTTTCCTTATCTTTCCTGTTTGAGGTGCACCAATTTTCCTCCATAATCAGTGAGACCACTTGAATGCTACCCAGTATAGTTATCTTGACACTTGAGGTTTGCTGTGTATTTGAGTGATCACTATGCATATCTTATGAAGGGTGGTTGATTTGTTGGTATTCTTAATCATGTTAATGTTGGGCAGTGAACTTTTAATATTTCTATTCTGCTAAAGCTGACATTTTTATTAATTAAAATTTTAGTAGAATGTCTTATAACTATGTACTTCATTAAAAACATTGTTTATCTATGAATTTAAAAGAATTTTTAAAAAAATGTTTTTTTTTTATCAATAAATATTTTCAATCTTTATAAATTTACTTGCGTTAACTTAAGAATTTAATGTGGGTGAGCTTTTACCCTTAAAGTTTGAATTCATTTATCAAAATTAATCCTGCATGGGGCAGTTCCTTTGATTGATAAGTACATACTGGTGATATAATAACTAAAAAAACTAGATATGTGTATTACAATATCAATATTAATAGCTATTCATAATGCATTCAGGTCAAATAGAGCAAAGGGCTTTGAAATCCATCCATTTCTCCAGAACACATAAAAAAGCCATTAATAAATACCCTCAAACTGTTACATAGAAAATCTGATTAGAAAGGCTTAAGAAGTTACCTCTAAAACCCCATAAACCTAATCAATATTTCATGAATTATGCACTTCAGTCAGAAGTTTTTATTGAAGTTCATACACCTAGATACAGTTTGACTAAATTGTTTAAAGATTGCATGCACTGCTATTACTAGATGAATAGATTTGTAAACTCCTAAATTATTGCAAGTCTTCATTAAGTTGATGAATCACATGCATTTATATGTGTGTTCAAATTATATTGATTTAGAATTTATGAAACAAAATTCTTAATTGAGGTTAACATTTGTATTAAAATCACAAGATTTAGAGATAACTAAAAAAAATTTCAATATTTTTTATCAAAACATATCCTAAAGTAAATAAGGCCTTATAAATGTAATTGCATGCATTTCAGAGAAAAACAGCAATTGATATTTCGCTATTCCAATTTTCCTAACATTCCTATTAATTCCAGTTGTTCCTTTCACAAAATTGCACACAACAGAAAAATTGTCTGCCTATAATAAAAAAACATGCGGACCAATAACCCTGCAAAATAGTTTTCAAGGATGATTTTCCATACTGATTGACATTTCCATCATATTTACTTAAGAAATGCCATCCGCAGTATGGGTGTTAAATAGTGTATGAAGAAGTGGGAGTCAATATGTTTGAACTGGAAGTTAAAATTCATTGATTTGGCTTACCAGAAAACCGTTTCATCTAAAATGACAAAGGCCAGGGCTCCAACACTGAGGGCATAGAAGGCACAATCTCGGAATAACGGCCACCAGTGTAGTTGCACCACCTGTCCGAAATAAAATACACTATACAGGCATCAAATAGATCATAAACACATTATCTAAATGCAATAGATCATAAATACATTATCTAAATGCAGATTTTAAAATCATTGATTTCTGCCACACAACTTTTATAATTATGGTTCTTTGTAAAGGAATATACTTTTATTTATTTTTTTAATCTGGATGATCAGACTAATTAAATTGATGAAGGCTCAGATGTGCCCCATCAAAATGTGTTTAACATGATAAAACTTGAATAACACCAGATTAAGTTAAGTTACAAGAAATTAAGATAGTACAGTAACTGTATTCCCAGACTTGGTTATTTTTGCCCCATGTTATTTTCGTCCATCTATACTTGCCAACAATTTTGCTTCTTTTAAATTTGCTCCATCACAGTTTGTCTTCAGAGATTATGATAGGTTTTTTGATTTCATCCTAGTTCTTAAATTTGCCCACCTAGGAGTAGGGCAAGAGGAAAATAAAACGGGAGGCAAAAATTAAATTCTCCTTTTTACAGTATTAATGCATGCACACTATGTTTTTCATGTGTTTGAAAAGATTCATGTATATAATTATATACAAATCTGAAAGTGCCCAGAGAGCACATAATAAATAGCTAGCATACATCTTACCATGATGGCACATAGAGCACATATACTGATGACAAACAACACACAACTTACCATGCCAGCACAGAAGGCACACACACTGATGACAAACAACACATTATAAACAGCAGAGCCAACCACAGCCCCTAGTCCAATGTCATCCTACAATACAAAAAAAAATTAAAGGGGTTACATGTATCATTTTTAGTCTCTACCCCTCGAAATTTCTGAAAAGCCTTCAAATGAACCAAATTCATGGTCATCATAAAAAAAAAAAAAACATCCATCCATTACTGATTTGGAGTTTTACATTTAAAAATTTGTTTTTTTTTTTTTGTAATATCATTCAAGAGGGGGGGTAACACTATCTAGAAGGGGTGGGGTGGGGGTCAATTTAAAAATAACAGAATTTTGAATGGTCATAACCATTGTAAAATTTTACATTTCAAAATTTGTAGTCTGTGACCTTTAGTCCAGTGGTCATTTTTGTAAGATCATACATGTACAAGACAAACACTGGCCAATAAAACTATCAAGCTACAGAACAGAACCCTGATTAACATCTTAAAGTTTTTCCTCATTACATCTCATTGAGTCCAAGGTAGCAAGGATTGACTGTATTTTAAAATCAGATTTCCATCAGTGGTCAGCAAACATTAACAACATATGGTGCACCTATCTACTAACTTTATAATACCTCTTCCTGGATGCACAGCTGTTCATAAATTCTGACACTGGGGCAGAACCAAATACTTAGCAAGCTAGAATTTCCAATTATATTATTTGTTTCTGCTAAGCATATGGTAAAATACATGTTTCACAAATATTAATTTTTTATCTGCATTTGACAAGATGTACTGCATTAAACATATTAAAACATCATTCCTTTAGATATTATTTATTTCATTTAAAGTCATTATGTCTTAAAACAAGACGATATTTGTGTTAACATTTCTTCACAAATTTCTTTTTTCCACGTTTTGACAAAATTATTTTTTTTTCTATGTTTTATTTCCTCAAAGTTTAATATTGATTATTGATACAAATAACATTGGCAACAAGACAGATCTAACATTAAATTTCATGTTATACCTATTGATTTTTTTTTTTGCATTGATCAGTTTAAATACATTTGTAAAACAATTCTTTTGTACAACTGTCAATTGTAGATACAACTATACAGATGTGTCTAGGTGAATACTCATGTTACAGTAATGTTAAACAAGCTTTATCAATGCTTTATGGATAAAAAACTAAATTACAGTGGTATGACAAAGCATCTAAACATTTTATACATAAACTAGCATCTGAAAAATTTACACAATCAACAAGCCATCATTAAAATTTTGATGCCATCATCTGAAAATTTTCTTTATGTATATACAAGAAATTCACTAATACATGCTTAATTCAGATGTGTTTATAATGATTTCTGAAGCAGATTTTTTGCTTATCTTTCTTTTCAACACATAACACGTGGTTGAAATGTTTTGAAAATTTCATTTCCTTGATTTCATCTATCTGTTTCTTTGTGTGTTTGGGTGGGGGGGGGGGGGGGGGGGGGGGGTTAGAGGGGATTGTCAGTGAGTGTATATTGTCATGGTATCATTAAAAGTATATCTACACATTTATAAACTACACATACATTTTTACTTGAATTGTGACATTTTCAATTAACAATATTTGTTGCTGCTAAAGATGCTGAGGGTTGTATTCTATATCGTATGTTTTGGGTTTGCTATAATCATTATAAATTTGCCTCTTGTTCAGTATGATATGTCTCCCACTGCAATATGACTTAGATATATTGTTTAAGTTGCGTACCTGTGCTATAAATACAGCAATGACTGCCGTGGCGAGCTCGGGAGCAGAACTTCCTGCGGCCATCAACGTGGCACCAGCTACATCAGACTGAATGTGAAACACTGCAGATAGCAAAATATTAATTCAGTTTTTTTTTTTATTTATACAAAATTTTATTCACATAAGTGAATGGGATTGGGCAAGGAAAGCCTAGACAAGGTCAAAATGAACACACAATATATAGATATAAAAATAAATAGACACACATAGTAGCAAAAACAAAAGAACAAAAACAAAAGAGAAAAAAAAGTAGAAAGAGAGAGAGAAAAAAAAATTTTTACATGTATTATAAAGTGTTGGCTTTACATTACAATTCAAATAAAACGTTTCTGTGAAAATTCAAATGATTGAAAAAAAGTAAATCAAGTTCATAGTTTGATCACAATCAATAATATTTTGAATTTTTGGAAAAGTACATTTCTTGGAGAGTTATATTTTGGACAAGCAAAAAAATAATGATGAGCATCTTCAATAGAGTCAATACAGTATTCACACATTATGTTTCTGAAAAAATTGGTTATATAAGTCAAATTACATGCTATTTTGCAATTGGCAATGTATTATATTGTTTAAAAATGAAAATTTCTTTACCCTTTTTAAAAAATAAGAATTTAAAAGACTTTTAAATGAAGATATTCCAGGGGCATTTCTGATATAATCATCAAATCATTCCATTTTTAATAGTTGATGGGACAATATGAATGTTCAGTTATTGACTGCATGAACACATACATATAACGTATAATTTATGATTTTATATAATAGGAAATTTTAGTTTGTAAAAGATCACAATTCATCATACAATTTTGATAGCAATTTAATTGTCCTTGGAAAAAAAGTTTTGTCTTTTTCAGAACAATTGTCAATTTTTCTAAAACAGGTCTAATGTTGCAAAAAATTCAGTTTATTTTAAAATGCTTTCACTACTAGTATTTTATAAAACTTTCACAACTATTTCTGTGAAAATTCAAAATGAAAAGTACAATGTAGCTCTATAATAATAAGTTTTGCAAGAGGACTCTCAATGCATTTCTTCATATTCTTAGAGCAGTCTACAAATTATTGAAAAAATTAAATACAAACACTCTACATGCTCTAAGCTTTAAAAATGAAAATTAAAATCATTCTGCTCTGATGGTAATGAAAACATCCCATTTTGACAATTAAATGTTCAGTTATTGACTGCATGAACACATACATACATATATACTGTTACAGTATTAAAAACATGATCAATGTTTTGGGAGGGGGCATTTAAAAAGATTTGCAAATAAATGTTATGTACATTATTTCGTGGGGAAAAATATTCCATTTGAGAGTGATGGATGGTAGAATGCATAGCTGTAATTGATTATCATGGAGATAAATTGTTCTGTTAATCATTGTGCAAAGCAGGGTCTGCATAAATTTACCAAGCAATGACATTCCCTTCAAATATAATTGCATGTGAATTCAATGAAGATTCTTAGTCAAAGTTTGTGACCATTAAATTGACATTCACTTATTTAATCATTCCACCAATTGTGATTTATTGCTTGTTTTCTTTTAGATATGTAGCCATACATCACATTTTAGACATCACATGCTTAAAAAAAGCTTGCTGATTAATAAAAAGTTTAACATATCTGTCTGGACTCAATGTTCTTTAGTACACATGTTAAAGTCAAGGTGGAGAAAGTACAAAAAAAACATTTTTCTTGTTTATATAATGAAAAAGATTCTTAAAAAAAGCATCCCTAACATAAATAACACTGCCTTGCAAGAAGACTAGTACTGTGATTTGGTTTTCAGATAATTTTTTTGATAAATGAATGAATATAACTTAGTCATACTGAATGTGGAAAATTCATGTTTCTATTTTCTGTTGAACATCATTTTTTTTGGGGGGGGGGGGGGGGGGGGGGGTAGGGGTTAGGGGGGAGATGGTGTTGGAAAGCTATGAGCCGAATGATGAAATTAATTTATCAATAAAATTCAAGTTTTCAAATACTTTTAGAAATATTAATTTTGTGAGGAAAAGATTTAAGTTGTCCACTGATTCAATGATATTGTATCTTTTTCCAAAACAGTACAATTCGATCCCCAAGTAAATCAGGGAAATAAATGTCAAGTTTTATTTTTGTCAATGGCGAATTAAGGAATTTCAAAAATAAAAAAGATCTTTAAAAGTATCGGATTATGGAAAGATAATTCCCTACCATCACACATAATTTCCAAGGATGGAACAAAGTAGTCATCACAGATGTAAGCAAAGGCTGCGAACATATACACGGCCACCAGTATATGGATGATGACCGCGCCCCCTGCCCGCTGCTTCTGGGAGAAGAGTCCCGCGGGGAACTGTTTGATGGCCCTGGGGGTACAGTTGGTCAGGGAGCTCAACTTCCGTGTGGCAACTACAAAATTAAAAAGAGAAATTAAAGAGTTAAATTGTTTTAAAAAAGAATCAAAATATTCAATTAAAATCGATCAATTAATGATTTGTGCCATATATAATAGTCAATTTTTCTTTAATCTTAAAATTTCTTAAACTTATGTTAAATGCTTAAAAGTATAATAATTAACATGATTATCCTGAAGTATTATAAGTAATTTATTCAAACCACAGTAAATCTATACCTATTATTTTCAAAATTCTAGTAATTTTTCTTATTAAATTACTACCGGTACATTCACATTTACTTATTTCCAAGATTTAATATTAAAGACCAATATAATGATGACTGTACAGATATTTGACAATGTTCACTTGGTACAAATGGGTGTAGCTAAATCATTCAGACACATATTCTTTTACAGACAATATATGTTATCTGCTCTTCTTCATACAAATGATCACATGTTCCAATAACTAATATACATGTTTAATGGCCTTAAAGAGACCATGATCTTTCTCTGTTGGACACAAATCAAGTAGTCTTTGTACATATAAATGTAGAGAGTGGTATATAAACAAGATTATATGATTGTATGAAATAGTGGGTTTTCATGAGAAATTAGGGACCATATTGATATAACTTGAACCATAAGCTGTGATCGATCAAACGTATAACCCACTTTTCCAGTTGGTTGCTATGCATGCATTAAAAATGATTGAAAGCTTTCGAGTGGGCACAAAATTTTACTAAACTGCTGTTTCTTTTTTTCCATTCAGATATAGTTACATATATAGTTCTTACATATGTACAACATAATATCTATGAGTCTCTAACTTGTCTAATAAAACAAAACTGTCCATATTTTCCCAAGTTCTTTAAATGTAAAAGTAATGAGTGATAATGCATGGGTCATCTTCCCTGATCATTTTGTAACTGAAGGTGTAATTCAAGGGATAGGAAAATTTTCAAATGGTGAGAGATTGTCTGAGTTGAATATGTATAAAATACTTTCTTTTTCTCACTCTGACCCCCCATTTTTTTGCAGGGGGAGGGGGGGGGTAATAAGGGGTTTGTTTACCGAGATTCTTGGGAGTGGGTTTGCAGCCCCAAAGTTAAGACATACAGTGCATGTACAAGCAAAAAGCATTTTGTAAAAGTCAGCATCCTGAACATACTGACTGTTTGTGACAGAGCATTAGACATTCTAATCTAATTTTAAAATTATCATCTTATTTTTAACAGCTAGTCTTTTTCATGTTAAAGCATATGTAATTGTTTTATCTACTTAATATTGTACATGTATTAACTTTTACCTGCTAACTTTTAAATGTTATGTAATATTATTTATTAATAAATACTTATATACAGATGGTACACACTGATACAGATCAAATTTAAAGTTTGCATGTAACAATGCTTATACCTAAAACAGATCATTAAACTGTAAATGATAAATGTACAAATTAATGATTTTTACTGTTTCACAGTTTGTATCATCATGTACATGCAATTCTGAGAGAGACAGAAAGAGAGAGGGATGGGAAGAGAGAGAGAGAATGGAATAGGGAAGGAGGGAGAAAGGCAGTTGGGAAGGGGGTAAGGGAGAGTTGGGGACAAAAGGGGTTTGCAGATGGAGAATAAAAAGCTAATTTGACTATAATTTTCATAACCTTTTAGGTCTTTCATTTTCTTTTTCAAATGAACAGCTCTTCTAAGCTATATTGTGTATTGAATACATTCACAGATCTATTTTTCTTTTTAGTTTCTTAATTTAAATGTAATGATCTTCAAGAAGTTAATCCTGGTTAATCCCTATTAAATACAACCTCCTCCCTACTCAATGTCAACCACCAAACATTGGACACCATGCACTCTAAAATATATGGTAGTACAAATAATTAAAATGCATGGCTGGCTAAAAATCACTTTAATCCTCCGATTATGAAGGTCATTTTAATGTTCTGAGCCTAGAAAAAAATCAATAGAAAATTAACATTGCACCCACAAAGATGATTTTCCATGAAGGTCAAAGTCATTAAATGACAATATGTCAAAGAATTTTAGGGTTAACAATTATTACGTTGCATCTTTCATCTATATTTCTGAGAAAAATATCTTCAGGAAATTAAAAGAATTCATGCATACTGAGATCTTGATAACTGTTTGTCTAACTCATCAAAATCTATATAGCCAGGATAATTTACTTGCTCACAGTCAAATTGCACTGAATTATTGATAATCATGATAATACATATAAACCATCAGATAAAATATAGCTATATATTTCTCCCTATAGAAACTTATTTACACTTCATTAAATTATTTATAGATAAAATGGTCACTATAGTTAAAGCAATATGAGCTGCATCTTTGATGTCAGAATTTTTTGTTGCAAAATTGTAAATAACTATTTCAATGACAGAAAAAATAACGTTAAAAAACTTTTGTTGTTCATATTTGCGATGAAAGAACTATTTATAAGCTTCGAATGAATCAAAATTACATTATTCTCGTCCTGTACAATAATGATTTATTATATAAAACTGTATATTAGACTGTATATAAAAAATCTTTCTTCTGCTTAATTTTAGTCTAATTGATCATAAATGTTTAAGTTACATACAAATTTATTATAATGACACTTTATAACAGCAAAATAGAATTTTTACCAATGCAGCTCATATTGCTTTAATAATTTATAAAGCAGGTTTATGCATTGTAGAACATTTCTCACAAATTGGGAGTATATATATGATTTTTTGCAAGTTTAAAAATATTTTTTCTATCACAAATTTCATGATTTGGAAGAGAAGAATATTATTAGTTACACATTCAGTTAGTGACCTAATACGGATTCATACAGGTGTGAAATGGAAATCCGTATTGGGCGAGGCGAAGCCAATTCCCAATACGGATTTTCATTTCACACCCTGTATGAATCCGTGTTAGGTCACTCACTGACTGTGTTACAAATTTATCCCGCTGAAGACCTTTTTCAATATAAAAAAAATGAAAATATTAAGTTTTAATCCGATAACAATCAACAAAAAATATCGCTACGGTAAGAAGAAATTTAACTAAACTACCTACGAAAACCGTTTCTTAGCCGCCATTTTTATTTACAATTACAACGCTTCGAATGGAATCGAGTGCCCGATTTTCATATTACTCCTCGACGGCGATGTAATACGGAAAATTTCAGGGCATCATGTGATTAGCTTTTATCCAATCAGTAATCTACAAATTTGTTTGAAGCGGGATAATCATGATTATCTTACCATTTCTTACTGTATGGCTGTCAAAATAAACATAGCATAGGTTTTTAAAATAAGTGGATCGATCTGTAAGCTTTCTACATGTTCTACATGTATATTAAATGATTATAGATATTAAATACATGTAATGAGTATTTTAAAAGATGAAACATATGGAGATAACAAACAGTATTCAAGATCCAAAAAAAAAATACAAAATAGAAGCAGAGCAATCATGGACCTCCAAAACATCAGAAGTGGGATCAGGTGCCATCAGGAGTGAGAATCCCCTGCCGACTGGTCATACCCGCCGTGAGCTACTTGTCATGATCAGGAACTAACAGAAAGATCCTTCCTCAATTTAGTGTATAAATAATGGACTTACAATTAGTATGAAAAAACATCAGTCAGCATTTGACTTGAATTGTACTTGCTAACAAGGTTGTTGTATCGACCATAGAACTTATGAAATGATGACTTTAAATGAGACTGTTGATATTCTTGTCTCATCAACTTGTTTATCAATAATTTACAAAATTTTAGAAATTGTTCATACATAGAGCATGCACTTGTGTATGAATTGATATGATTCTATTATTAAAGAGAGCCTTGGAGAGCTCGAGAATCCTCTTAATATTACATGTATCGTTCAAGTTCCTGAATGAAACTATATATTTTTAACACATCAAATCCTATTAATCTCACAAACTGATTATATTTACCACATATATAGTCTTATATTTATATAAACATGCATGATAATAGTTAAACTCCATTTAAGAGATAGAAATATTTATAGATACAAATCTGTATATTTAATCCGATATAAACTAAAAATGTATTTTATACATCCTATAGATTGGTGTGTCTTATCTTTGTTCATACAAGTGTGATATATTTTGTATGCTATCTAATCCAACTGAACACAAACAAGAGTGCTATAATATTTTCTCTCCTTTTAATCATGTGAATCCTGTAACAGGTTCTTCTGATATATAAATAATTAATTCAGTTAAAACCTTGTTTGTGGATGTAAATTAACAGCAATACATTATAAACAATGCTAATACGTACATCAGTACATGCTCTTAATAGGCTTAATTAACTAATACATATCTTATAACCATGCTAACTAGTTCTTAAAAAATTAGAATGTAGATTATTCAATTTCAGAAAGTATAACTAAGATTACTTGTGAACATTATAGTAAATCAATATGGGACCTGAATCAGGTTTATTTGGATCCTTTAAAATTTTAGACTTATAAATTCAAATAGACTGATTAGTTAAATATATGGGGGAGGTGGGGTTGGGGTATAATATTATTTAACAAGTGTATATGTTTGTTTGTTTGTTTTTTAAACACCCCTCTCAAGAATTTTTCACTTCACACATTTATGGTAGAGATCGAGCTGCAAATGTTGTCCTATACTTGGCACTTACGGACATTGAGCAGTGAGGGATCTTTTATGTTGTACATGTAGCACGTTCTGCAACATGGGACCTTGGTTTATACGGTCTCATCTGAAAGACCCGTCTTCACATCCCCTTGTGGGATTTGAACCTGAGAAGTAAGATCAACTCTTGAGCAAACAGGTGACAGTGAACTCTTTCCATTAATCTTGCTGTTCAATACTTGAGGACGCAGTGGTTCAAATCCCACTGGGGGTCATGAATCCCTGTCATAATCAACAATTTCTGAGTCAACATGGTCAAAGTAGGTGCCTGCACAAAAGTGATCCCTCCCTACTCAAAGACCAAAAGTGTTGAGTATGATTCAAAATTTATGGCCAAAAAGTGGTAGGCCTACACTCTTTGTTACTGGCCAGGTTTAATCATATGTTTAAATTCACAGGTACTTGTTTCTGTAATTGCATGGAGCTCAACACTGTAATAACACCTGTATATTTGTGGGCTGAAAAATTTACTACTCAAACAAGTGCCTGTAGTTTAATTGTAATCATTTAACAAATGCACAACTTCAAGAGAAACAGGTTTACCTAACACTATGATATTCTGTGTACAGCAGTACAAGAGAGATGAGTTAGGCTACTGCGTGAATTTTTATAATGTTGCCCTACACGTGTTGATATTATTCCGATTTCCTAATAAAACTAGGTATTAGATTTTGAAATAGAATAAAATTACAGCTTTACAGATAACAAGACAATATCTATGATCATTTAGCCTAAGGGTACACCCACCTTTGGATTCCCAGGAATCGGCCTCCGAGAAAGCATCCCCTGGAGACCATTCCAGTCTCTCGATTTCTCTCACGCCAACAAAACTCAGAACAATACATGCCACTGTAAGTACAGAGCAACCCACAAGAATACGAATTTCTCCCCTTTTCATGCTATTATCTCGAATGAAATCAAAATAGATGTACAATATTGTTCATCGTGTCCGTTCACAGACAATCACGAAACAGCATTACCGCAGTTTATCGGCGACGGAAGAGTTTGGGCGAGTCCATTTTTCAATCAAGGTAGGACAGCCTAATATTTGGTCCGTCAGCGTTTCTTTATTTTTGTTTGATAAATTAACTATAGTGAAATCAACAACTTTAAACTTTCATTATTATGTATTTTATCTCTGTCATTTATTTCGATAACAAAAATAATACAATATATTTCCGAATGAGATCATTTTTATTTTCCCGGAATTCTGAATTTCACCTCTCAGTATTCTTTATGCTATTTAGCTAATAGAATTTCCTAATTGATTTCTGGAAGAGAAGGGGAAAGAGAATTATGTTTTCTTTGTTTATTTATATTTCTCTGATGTCTTATTTACTTATTTCTTTTTTTAATATACAATAAAAACCAAAATAAACGATTCCATAAAGAATGGCGAATATTTAATCGATATTGAGAAGTACAAGATCTGTTTCTAATGTAAACAAAAGAACAAATTCGAAATATACGACGACGTATTATTCAATTAACAAACCTATCTTTTAATAAGATAGGTGAGCTAGCACGGTACTATAATAAACCATTAAAACACAAAGGACGCTTATTGTACCATATTTTTATTTGAAGATTCGATAAATTATAAATAAGAAGACACAATGTTGCAACAATAGCGGGGGGGGGGGGTAACATATTCAGAATGGTGAATCTAAGAGAAGTCTTCACGTCCACGTCTGCAATGGCATAACTGTGCTTTAAGCATTCTGTATTTTACTGTAATTTCAATTTCGAGACAAAAAATTAAAATAAAAGGTCAGTAGAACCAATCGGCACCTAGTTTAAATTATTCAAGTGTGGTACTTTTTTTAAGCAATAGCATCTTCTCAGGTCTTTCTTTGCTCGAAAAAGATACATATCCCAAGTTGACACAGTTTTCCGAGCTTGCTGGAAAGAACCACGAAGGCAGATTAGAAAAGCTAGGTATTTAAAACAAATTTAGAAACATTAACAGTATTAATTATATGTCCCGAGTTACTATTACCATGCCAAGAAATCTCGTCCGATTTACGCGCACCGATGAAGTCAATAAAAGTGTAATTGATGCAAATCACCCATATTCCTCAAACGCTGTCCAGCAAGACAATTTACGGCAGCAGATTTCGATTTCAGGGGGTTGGATCCTAGGTTTTCAGCTTTCTTAGTTAAGAAAAATAAACTTGATACATTATTCCACCATTTATTTCTATCAGTGATATTTTTATTAAAATGAAAATATTAACATAGCCAATCAGGTTGCGTCTAAGTATCACACCGGCAATTGTTTTTACTTAAACAATAGAATGCTTTCTTTTTTGTTATTATTGGAATTAACGGAAGCAGCTGTTGCAGAAAAAATACATAACCCGCGTAAGCAGATTATGTAAATTTTTTCTGCAATAGCTGCGACCGTTAATTCCAGTAATAACAAACAAAGAAAGACATTTTATTGTTTATATTTATATCTGTTTAAATAATCATATAAAGTAGGATTAAAAAGATTAATTATTGTATTAATCATGCGAACGTCTTTATATGTTTCATTGATGGAACAGCCACTGATCAAGAAATCTGTACAGGCGACATGCCTAATGTAGTTCATGCAGTGATTAACGCAATGGGTTTTCTTAAGAAATAAAGGAGAATATATTCAGTGGATGTAAATATTATAAATTTCCATATAGAATTTTTAAAAAATTGTTTTAAAAAATCAGGTAATTGTTTACTTGAAAAAAAATTTAACAGAAGGTGTTAAACATTACCTGTCACACTAGCTGACACACCCTCACACACAAAACCAAAACGGTACCTACTCGGCATTTTCTGACTTTTTCCATCTGCAAATAGGGCTACCCTCAAATCCACGTGTTTTTTAATGTGTTTATAAACATTCCGAGTGCATCACAGGAAGTAGCCTCCCATGCCCGGAAAAAAATAGTTCCTGTCAAAAACCTTTATTTGTTCAAAAAGTACATAAAATTTACTAGACACAGGTACCAAAGTTGTAAAAATGGCTTGGAAGAGAATAGGAAAACGTCTCAAAAGAAAGGAAAATCAGTTTTATATGTATGGACCTACATTTGATTACCGGTGTGATACCTCTACCCATTTAGTATTCCTCTCCCCTCTTGTTTAACCAGGAAATTATGTCAACTTCAGGGAATAAACTACCGAGTTCATCGTACCCGACGTTAATTTATACTAAGGAAAAAAAATTATATGGAAATACGTAAAAAAATTGAAAGACAGCTTATTTCTACTGACGAATTAGTTTACTATACCGGTAATTAATAATTTTTATAACTTTCTTTTCCTTTAATTTACTTTTTTTACAGTATTTATTTAATAAGACCCCCCCCCCCAAAAAAAAAAAGAATGGGTGCACAAGCTTCTAAATAATTAATTTTGTACCTATGTTTTAAACCCTGTAAAACTTAAGATCCCTCCCTCAAAACTACTGACATTAATTGCCTCGCCAACATCTCTCGGGGGAGTTTCACAGATTAACGTTGATTCGGCTTTTATTGAGTTCGCTCTACGGATAGAATGCTAAGGTTTTCTTGGCATATTTTTCACATTTACGTGCAGGTTAGAAAACAAAACACGAAACTTCAGATCATATATATTTTCAGATGATAAAAAGAAATTAACGTGTCTTTCCGACAAATCCTGTAAATATTTTTTCCGAATTTGCTGGGATTATCCAGGAAGATGGAATACTGTAAGGAAAGCTAGATGTCTAAAATCTTGGTATTACAAAACATGACTTAGCTTTTTCTTTTACTTTAAATGTATAGGTTAGACAATAATTTAAAAGAAATTTCAAATCTTGACTTAGACTAGAATTGTCTGTTTCTAACTTACGAAATGGTTATTGCGCATATCAGACAGAAAAAAATATATACAATTTCTACAGAGTTATCGTTCCAGCTACGCTCTGGATAGAGGTATTTTTGTATTACAATTAAGTTATACGAATTTTTTTATCGTACAGTTTGTCTACTCCACTGTAGTTCCCCGGAATCCCTGGTCGTGAAATCGAGCATGCGTATTCCAGAAATATTCACTAACGTAGTTGCTAGCACTTTCATTCAAAATCGACACCAAATATATATACAGTGACGTAGCAACGGGGGGGGGGGGGGGGGGGGGGGCGCTGGCCCCCCACTTTTTTCCCCAACCTTACTTTTACTATAGGAAATGTTAATAGAAAGCCTGGTTGCCCCCCCCCCCCCCCCACACACTTATAGTGATGTACCGAAAATGTAGCTGCATTAGAAAAGGTACTGAAGGTAGTTGTCACTGAGAAAAAGTTTACCTACCCCCCCCCCCCCCTTCCCCACGCTCCTCACGAAATAGGATTTACTTTGGGCAACTTTTTTTTTGTTTTGCTTGTCAACTTTTTCAGTTAAGTAAAAAAAAAATTCTCTGGCTGCCCCCCCCCCCCACTTTCAAAAACGATGCTACGCGCCTGAATATACTGTATCTCATGAACTTGAAAAAAGAAACAAAAGAGTCTGCCACATCTGTTTCATAATTCATTTGGCTATTTTAGTAAAAATAAAGAAAAGAAAAAAAAAACGTGATGACTTCACCCTTTCTATCGTTAAGGTATATACATGTAGCAATGTATTCTGAGTAACCTAATCAACTGAATATGGAGAGTTTATGTGTATACATGTACATGTATATCCCAACTGATTCAATACGCACGGACATCCTTTACGTACGAACATATTGTAAAACGAACTATTGAAAAAAAGTTGATGAAACAAGGATATTTACAGTCCCGTTTGAAGTTAACACTTTGCAAATTCTGTTGTCTTTTTCCTTGCCCCTTGTCAGGAAATACAATGTACAATGTATCATTGAGTCGAATTCTGTCAGACTGATGATAGACAGGAAATGTTTACTAATCCATACCATATGATCTAATTAAGGTACTCCGATCCTCAGGTTCTGAACATCTGGCACTGAATAATTAAAAATATTATACTTTCATGTAAATTTGTGGAATCTGATTGGTAGAGAAACATTTGTTAAAAAACACTACTACCCGCTGAATAATGAAGCCACGCCCTCCAGCGTAGCAACAGTTAACATTGCTTAACGACGGGTGGTACTCCAAAAAATAGCGACTGCGCAGAATTTATGCGCGCACGGTTCACTGTTATATGTATGGCACGCCAAATTCACAAAAATGAGATAATCATAGTTTCACAATCGATAAACTAGGTTTATCGGTTGTAAACTATAGTTTACAAACCGTAAACTATAGTTAACAACGTTAATCTATATTTCACATCTGTAAACCATAGTTAACGCGATAATCTATGTTTCACAACCGTAAACTATACTTAACACCGAAAACAATCATTTGCGATTGCAAAACATAGATTATCTGATAAATACAGTTTCACGATTTGTAAACTATAGTTTACAAACCGTTAACTATAGTTAACGATCTGATAAATATAGTTTCACAATTTGTGAAACTATGATTAACAACTCTTAACTATAGTTTACGGTTGTAAACTATAGTTTACAAACGTGAATCTATGTTTATCAACAAAATCTATTGTTAACGCTTATTACAGACAGATAAACTTAAATTAACATTCGTAAACTATAGTTAACAACCGTTAAATATAGTTTTACAGATGAAAACTATACTTAACGAATCGTTAACTATAGTTTACGGTTTGTAAACTATAGTTTACAGTCGATAAACCTAGTTTATCAATTGTGAAACAATGATTATCTCATTTTTGTGAATTTGGCGTGCCATATATATGTACATGTATTTGTATAAAACATTCAGTATAATATAATAAATATAGCACGTAGTTGAGTGTAACATTGAAAATTTTCACCCCTCGAAAACCATTGTCAACTCAAATTATGTAAACAAATACATTTAAAATGTATTTTGTTGCCTCAATACACAATATTATATCTTATCAATGTGACCTTAATTTGTGCGAAAAACCAC